ACGTCCACCATGTTAATGTAGCTTTCAATTTATGGTGGCATTTACTGAAACATCCTGCAATATTTGGCAAAGTTAAAAGAGAGATTGCACCCCAATTAACCAGAAGATCAAAGAGCGAAGATTAAGGAGGGAAATGTTGTCTTTTTTTATTTTTTTAAAGAAGCAAAATGTTTGGAAAGTCAGGCTTTGAGTGAGCTAGCCTCCACCACTTCCACTATTCAGGTTGGCTAATGAGCGCTTCCTTCATCCCTCTACTGGGTGCACTTATACGTGGGGGAGAATAACACAACGCTTCTCAGTAACTGCAGCCAATAGCTAAATCATTTCTGTCACCCATTTTACCTTAAAAAAATCTGAGTTAGTAAATTATGATTGTTCATATTTATATTTTTATTTTTATTCTTTGGTAGTACCTGGTTTTAAACCCAGGACCTTTGCACTAGCCTTTTTTATTTATTATTATAATTTTTTTTGTTGTTTGAGGCGAAGTCTTGCTAAGACACTAAGTTGCCCTGGTGAACTCAAACTTGTGATCTCCATGTCTCACCCTCCCAGAGTGCTGGGATTAGAGGTGTGCACCACCATATCTGGCTTAAACTGTGTATCTTACTATAATAATATTAAAAAATATTTTGGATTTATCCACCTAATTAAAGATTTAATAAATATTTATTGAGCTTCTACTATGTCATGTTCTCAACTGAGAAAACAGTGGTATATCTTTATTCTAGGATATCTTGACTAACATTATTTAGATACAATAAAAAAAAAAAAGGATTTTCCTGGAATCTAAATCTTGCTCTGTGGCTGTAGAATTTTCCTTCTGAACACAGAGTTTGGAACCTACAACAGCAACCATAAAGATCCTACAACATCTCTATATGGAGAAAATTCATAGCTGTGAAATGTCACCTCTCAAGATGGTTGTTAGGGGCATAACGTAACTTCAGTTCTCTCCGGCTATCTCTGTATATATCATGTCACCCTGGGAAAAAGTAACTGTGCTGGCTTTGCATATGATTTTAGGGACCTAAAATGCAAGAAACTAATACTTTGAGGATTAAACTATCTGCAGCATCTAAGTTTTTAAAGTGCTTGTTTCAGAAGGCAAATACAGTATAGTTAGACATAGTTCTAAAAAGATACAGTCGTAATAATTGGCATTTTTCTGTGACTTCTATGGAATCCTAAGTTCTCACTCACAGTTAAGAAGGACTTTATAGTCAAATATGTTGGAGAACTCAAAATTGCAGCTTATTTCTGGGAGATTTCATTTTGTACATTCGTATATTAATGCTTTAATGAGTCCCCAAATTAAGAAATCTCTTTAACCCAGTCTTTCTCAAAGGTAAATGACCAGAGCAAAATTTTTGCCCTCCATGTATTAACAGTTAACATCTTCAAAGATTCTTTTCTCTGTAAAAGATAAACTCTGGACCATTGCTGTAAGAGGAAATTTTGCAAAAATGCTGTGTTATTATACATTCTGATATCCTGAGGAAGTGCCCGGGATTGCTTATAATTGGCTTTTATTCCACTGTGGCTGCGCCTTTGCTGCCCTTGCAAGTACAGATCTGTTCGGCCTCCCCTTGGTACTGAGCAGTTTTTCTTCCTAAATAAAATCCAATCCACTGTATCCTACCGAATCCTAATTTGTTGGTGTACATATTCTTCCAGCATTCCAGGGTGATTTTCAAGTTCTACTGTGGTAATTTAATATTTGTGGATTTAGGTTTTCCTTAAGAAAAGTTGAAGTGAAGATTAAGTTGTATCACATGCTGAATTTTGTCTTTCATACTTTAAAGTTTGCCCTCCCTTGACAAAAACATTTACTTATAAGGATTCAAAATACTACCCAAGTTTTCAGTGTTGTTTGCATTTCTGTTAAGAGCTGTAAGACAGAGAGGGCTTGTGCTTCTTCTTTAAAACCCTGATGATTCCATGACTATGCAAACACATCTGAAACCGCTCCTGGCACACGACAGTCTACAGAGCACTTTTCAAATGGGAAGTGAAATATTGCAACTTGTTTTGATAAAGTCCATATTGCATTAAAATAAATGTTAATTTTAAGTTAATGCTGTAGTGATTTCTTCAAATTGCAAATAGAGATTAGACCATACTTTTCCTAACACAAGAGGTTTTTAGAATAGGCTGAATAAACAGCTACAGTGACACTGCCTGGGACTAACTCTTAAGGTAAGTAGCGTACAGGAAACACCTGAAGTCACTGAAAAGGCCACCTAAAGTAAAACTTAATCACACACATCATGGGAAACAGATGACAGGGTAGCTTCTTCCTCTACGAAACTGGACTCAAAAGTGAAGCTTTCAGTGAGTGCTGTAGACCTTCTGATGGGTCTCCTTACTGAGATCTCTATGCACATAGAGCAGTTTAGAACCACTGGCTTTAATTGCTGGGTCGAAGAGAAGAGCAATCTATTGATTTCTTTAGGGCCTCAATTTATGCATAGCTAAGCATGTGCTCAGGCTCCCTGAGTCTGGGGGACTGAGTGAAATTCTGCAAGAACAGCTGTTTCCTAGCAAATGCTGCACGTAGTTTTATGCTAAGAACTCCTTCCCCCCAACTTTTGCAGTGAAAAATTTCTTTTGTGGAAATAAGCACATCTATTTCTAGAAAGAGAAACAGAAGCTGCTATATAAATTTATTTTCTATATATAACATGGATACTTAAATTTACCTAAAACTAGCCAGTTACTTTTGTCAAGTCAGATCAGCAGATTGTGAAAAGAAAAAACATTTGTTTTCATAGTTTATAATATTAACTAAGTTTCTTCTTTTTAACTTTTGAACATCTTTGAGTGTTTACTAAACTGAAAAAGCTGTACATAAAATTTATTTGTAGGGTTTAATTTTTGTAACTGAATTTTATGTGTCTGATTTTGTTTTTTAATTGGAAAATTGAGAACATATTCCATTTGATAGGACTGTTGTAAGAGATTTTGTCTTCACTTTGGGTGCTGCCCTTTTGTATTCTTTTTCTCTAATAGGTAGTATTGTAGTCATTTCATGTGTTATATATTGGCCACCGTGTTTGACAAAGCATCAGTTCTATTTCATTTCCTCACTAAAGAAACCAGCTAAATACTCAAACAAAGTTACAAACCTTTCATGGAACACACAATGCCAAGCCAGCTGGCCTCCTCTCCATTTCCTCTGGTACAGCGCCTTCCTCCCCATAATTCACATGCAGGGGTCTTTCATTTGGGTTTTGAAACTTAATGACTAGTGAAGATGTGATGGAAATAGTGTATATCTTGAAAAGTCACTGAAGTGACAAATGGTGATACTTTGCAAAGCACTATTTGAAAGGAGGGGAGATGTTTGAGAATTCAGAATTGGGAATTTCCTAGATGATCCTCAAACTATTTGGGGGAAGTTGCTATTTTAATGGATAAATAATTCCACTCATTTAAAAAAACAGACTTTTTTTTTTAAAAGCCGTTCCTACGTCTTTCCTCACCAATTAAAAGTCTCTCATTTTGTAGATGTGGCTTTAATTTGAAGCAATATGGTATTCTTTTTTTTTTTTTTCCCCTCTCCATTCTAACTAAACAAACTCTGTAAGAATTAGCTTTGAGTTATTCCATCTGTGGACTTTTAATTTTGTCATAAAAACACAGAAGCCTGGCAGGGAGCTCTTTCCAACTGGCTACATGTATCATCTTGTCTGAAAGCTGGTTAAGTAAGTATGGCATTTAGAACGAAATAAAAAAAACTTCATTTGTGGAGCTAGTTCACACGATGTGTTTGCCCACTTCTTTGACCATCTGTTTATGTTGACAACCACCGCCCCACATTGTGCCAAAGTGCCCTTGGCTATTAAAAACAGTGTTTTGTGTGTGAGAGGCGTGTGTGTCCTCACACATGTATGTGTTTTGGGGGTGCCATCTTCTTGAGAAATGTCTTACTAAAGGTCACATACGATCCATGTGGAGATATCTCAGGTCATTTACTGTTCAGGCAATATTATACTATATGCCGTACCCCTCCTCACTTTTAAAGATGTTCGTTCCTCCCTGACATACAAAAATTTCTTTAAGACTATGAATATATTATCAAAATACCTGCTGAATTTGGCTAAAGAGGGAATGATACTATGTGTTGAAGGTGAATCTAACTACGAATCTAAATATCTCTGAGTACAGCAATCCTTGGGAATGACTCAGGAATTCTAAGCTGTTGGCAAGATTCTTTCTGCCAACAGGAATATCAGAGTTGACATTCAACTCACTAGAGGACTGGGGACTCTTCTTTCACAGTTGACAGTGTAAATAAAGTCTTTGAGGCAAAATGGCCTCCTGGGAGAAGAGTAACTATGGTACATGGATTGTCAGTCTGCTATCACTGTAGGTTGATCGGCTTCAAACTATTTATCCAAGGTTTTAAACAACTACTTACCAAAAGCTAATGGACATACAACTTTCCAGCACTGAGCTGTAGAAGTAAAGAACCATCTCTTAGCTATAATAAAAATTGTAATTGTAGTGGGGGAGGGGAAACACAAATGGTAAGATAGATAAGACAACTAAAAGATGGATCTTGCCAAGGGGAGATAAAAATTGTCTCGGCATCCAAGGATAGAGGGTATTAATTAGTTGCCAAGTGCCGTTTCAGTTCCGCAGGGTTCTGTGTTGTACGGTCTTCAACTCCCCTTTCCTCAAAGCTCCTAAATTATCTGGAGTGAGCGTGTGAGCAGCTATGAGGCGCCCCGCATTCCCCTGAGCACTGGGGTACAGACTGCCTGAGGAGCCTATGAGTACGGTGAGTAATTCCCAGGGAGAGAGGCACAGGCTGAGGAGCTGAGTAGATGCGTGGTTTGGGGGCTGGTACAATGCACAGTCACAGAACCATTTTAGGAAAGCTTGGTACCCCTTTGTCCAACTCTACTCTATAATTATTATTTTTATTATTATATTTTAATCCTCCAAGACTGTGATGATTTTCCCCGCATTTGGTTTGTTGCTTTTCTCTCCAGTGATTCCCCATGTTTTACCATCATTCGCCTCAGAATCCGTTCTGCAAGCTGGGTCGGAGCTGAAGAACAGACATTCTTTCTGACAGCTGTACAGGGAGGCGAACAAATTTCCAGAGGAGGGTGTCCTGCGCCAGCGAGCCCATCCAGCTGGATTTGCATCGCACGTGCAGAGAGCTGCGCGGCACGGCCCACTGCTGCGGGGGCTGCAGCTACTTATTTAATAACTCGGTTCGCAGGCGGCACAGGGACTGCAGCACTTTAGGTTATTCCAGACAAATAAGGAGTCACAGAACACTGCGCAGAGAAAAGTAACATTTTAGTTCTTCCCCTTGGCCGAGGCTGTTTAAATGCTGAACATGATAGTCCTGAGGTATAGATGGTAATAATTTCTGTTAGGTGTAGGAACTGTCTTCCTCCAGCCGTGTCATTTGATGGCATGCAACATTTCTTTGGTGTTTATTGGAGTTTGAAGTGTTTACTTTTTAACCCCCAGTATTTAAAGTGTAGGCTACTCATTGCATTTTTAGCAAATTAGTTTTATTTCTTCTAATCGTTAACACTTAGAAATGCTTGTGAGAAATTGCATTAATAAAACCTTCAGTTTTAAATGTGGGTTGTTTATGTTTTCACTTGTGATGAATTTTCTCCCCTCTCTTTAGACTCCCTCCCCAGTTTGTTCATCAACAATTAAACTAAATATTTGGCTTTATTCTGAACACTGCAAAGTTACTGAAACACCAAGCTGCCAGTAAAACAATAAAAATGAATTTCTTGAGTGTAAGTAAAGAGTGTTAAGGTAGCAATATTAATGCACAAACTTCTATTTTAAAAACACAGTCATAATGGTCGATGATGAAAATGTCTACTCTCCAGAGGTGTAAATGTGAAAGCTTAGCCTACTGTTGTTCCTCTGATTCATCTCATGGCACATTTTATTTTTGCACTGTAAATTCTCAGGAAATATTTAATGAGCAGGTGAGTAAATGGTTTGCTATTGTGATAAAATCACACCAGTGGAAACGGATAAGGGGCCTGGGCTTGGATTTGTAAAGTGAGCCTTAGAAAGTAATCATAGACATCAGCGCTTTGATTTGTTTTTCCTAACTAAATTTTCTCCAAAAGAAGAGATTTTGGATTGCATGTCTATATTGGAAAAGTCTAATGTAAGCTATAATTTGGGAAAATAGAAACTTCTGGCCAGAACTGCTTTCTTTATCTTGAATCTCTACAGTAGCAATGTGACTGTGCTTGTGTATAAAATAGCTCAATACGTGGCTTCAAATTGTTGGCATTCTTGTTTTCTTCACAGTGAAGAGCTCCTTGAAGCAGGTCTGTATCTCTTCACAGCTGCAGTCACGCACCTGTAGTAGTCCAGTGACTGCAAAAGAAATGAAAGCTTGTTTTTACCAGGTCTTTTCCGGTGTTGAAGATGAAGGCTGCATAACCCTCCCATGGAAATTCTTTATCTATCAGGTTAAGCAGAGAGATATGTCAGCAAGTAAACCCTGACTGGCCATGCACTGAACATGGGTTTGGATGAGAAATGGTGCTGGGAACTGGTCATAGTCAGCCTGGACAAGTCTTTCTTCCAGGGGAAATGAAAGACTTCCTTGAGTTTGAAATTTTGTACAGTAGAACCAGTCCCTCCAGGGGAGGAGATAGGAACGCATACAAACAAATGGTGGTATGAAAAGGCAGAGGAGTTGTATATGGCCTGACAAGGAAAAATCAAGAAGCAACTTTGCAGACAGAGTGTCTTGCATATCCATGTGGATTAGCCTGGTAAGTAATCAGGGAAACGGGGGATTTTGAACAGATGACTGAACATTTTAGAAAGATCGTTCAGTGATAAGAACCACAGGGGAGTAAAGTCCAGAAGTAGAAAAGCCAGTTGCTCTCTACCCTATAAAAATATTGAAAGGGTTACAGGGTGAGAAATGGCTTTGAGACACTTAGAAGGTGGAAGGATGTTATACAGCAACTAACTGAATACTAACGATTTAAGACAAATGGTGGAGGGGAATTGAGGATTTATCTTATTTCCTGCCTTGGGAAGCACAGGCCAGTTTAAAAGATGAGAGCATAAATGCAGAGGAGACTGGTGGGAATATTTGGGACAAGTTGCATTTAAGGTGTTGGTGATGCTGAAGTAGAAATATGCTGGATAAAATTAGGTGTCTGGTTCTGAATTTCAGAAGAAAGTCTTCAGTTTAAAGGTAATGGTAGAAACTTAGTGAGGGTCTAAGTCCTCTAGGGCCAAAGGAGTAAAGTCAAAGTGAGAGGTGGCCACAGAGATTGTTGAGAAGGGCATGAGAAATAGGTAAACCTTTCGATGCAAGCAGAGATATGCAGGGAGTCAAGAGGAGAGCTCAGGTAAGTGATCTGGAAACCACTGAACTATGAAGTTTTAGGAGGAAAGGATGCCAAAGGCAGAGGAAGCAAACTAAGGACCCGGCAGACCCCTTGGCTTTGCACAGTGTTGGAAGGATGGTAAAGGGATAACAAGGTGACAGCATCTTGAAGTGACAGGAGTGAGGAGAACAGACCATAAATACAATGGCCCATTTTTTTAAAATGGTTGGCGAGAAGGGAAGAGGCACAAATGTCAGCAGTGAGCAGAGTTGGTTTGTAAGGGGGAGGAGCAGACACGAAGGTGTCTTTTTGTGTCCCTGAGCCCTCCCCGTGTTACCACAGACACTGGGGTCACTTTTCAGAGTTTCCAAGAGGAGCACTCAGGTCCTAGCCCACCATAGACATTCGCTCCTTAACACCCCCTTCGCCCACTTCCTCCCTTCTCCCTCTCACACTGCTGTCTCTTCACCTACTTCCGGGGATTGAAGTGATTTTACTTAACTCCTTATCTAAGGGTCTGCTAACAATTCCAAACTGAGAAGGAATTTGTTGAGAGCAGGAGTTAATAGAATGGTAAGTTTGTAGATATAGGAAAGAGAATTGATAATTGATGGAAGAAGGATGTCAAGAGTTGAGAGAGCAGTGATCAGGAACTTGATGAGAGCGGTTGAAGTAGCTGTGATAAGGTGTGGAAGATCTGCAGATCATAGAGGGTTTCACCCGAGCTGGATGCTCTAATTGACCCTGGGTAGCGGGAGACACACTCACCTAAATCATCATGCAAAAAGCACATCAAACCTCAGTTTTCTGTTGATAGTGACATTTTATAATATCAGGAAAAACTGAATTTCAAGCCTAATAGTAACTTGAAAGTTATTCCTATGTGAAGTTTCACTAAACTAAAGGACAAAATTGAATGTATTTAAGAAAAAAGTTACTATTCTCTTAGGTTGTTTTTGTAGAGAGGAAATTTTACAAAAGTGTTGTAAAATAAACTTTATTCTGTTTGGCCTTGTAAATAATTCCTTAAAAATGCCAGGATTTAAGAGACTTTCAAATGCAGCAATAACATTTCAAATAACAGTTGGATTCGGTGATTTATAACATTCACCACATTCTGCTTTTTCCTCTTTTTCTTTAAACTTTAAAAGCACCGATTAAACTTTTCACAGCAGCCCAGTGACCTGATGGCAGGGGTCCATGGAAAGCGATTCCTTCCTTTGCCCATATTTACAGATAGTCCTTTCCTAACAGTTGCTGTGCCAGACACTGGAACAAACAAAAAAGCTTCATTTTTGTCATGGGGGAGACTTTAATACGGGAACATATACTCTAAACAAATAGTTATCAAACAGTGTGTCGAATAAGGGTTAAAAGTCTTTCTGTGTAGCCGACCTTGAAGGGGCAGTGTGTGACTGAGGGCTGCATGGCAGAGTTGGCTGTGTGAACAAGGTGGCTTGGGCCACGTGCCCGGAGGTGTGAGGCTGGCAGACGGAGTGGGAGGAGGACTGATGGATGAGGCTGGAAGGAACACTAGGGCCGGACATTGAAAGGCCCTATGTGGGCACATGACATCAACTAAAATTGTGTTCTGGTGTCAGGAATGGAAAATCGTACTATAGGGGGTTAGGCAAGTAAGGGGTCTTTCTTATGTACCTGACAATCTGGGTGGTTTATTTGACAAATAGGGTGCCTGATTTCTAAGCACTTTGTAGGTATTAATTCATCTGACACTTAGAACAACTCTTGGAGGTATGTGTTAGTTTTATCCCTATTTTACAAGTGAAGACACTGAGACACACAGCAGTTAAGTTGCTCAGTGTCACATGAGTGGTGAGGACAGTTTTGGGTCCAAGGGGTTTGTCTGCAAAATGCTCTCAAGGGCTCCACCATGGACCGGGATATACTCTGCTGTCTGGTGGAGAGGTGTGTTCAAAACTTTAGGGAGGGGCTGGGGATTTAGCTCAGTGGCAAAAGCGCCTGCCTGGCAAGCGCGAGGTCGTGAGTTCGGTTCCCGGTACCGGAGAAAAACGAAAAAAAAAAAAAAAACAACAAAACTTTAGGGAGCCTCTGTGTGTGGTGGCCCTTGCCTGTAATCCCAGCTACTCCAGAGGTTGAGGCAGGAGGATTGCAAGTTCCAGGCCACCCTAGAAAATTTAGTGAGGCCCTATCTTCAAATAAAATTTAAAATAAAGGACCGGGAATGTAACTCAGTGGTAGAAGGCTTGTCTAGCATGTACAAGGCCCTCAGTTCGATTTCCATACCAGAAGAATAAAGCAAACCAAAAAAAAAGGAGAAAAGTTAAAGGGAGCAGAGGCAAAGGAGTAGAGAGAGTCCTTTGGTAGATAAAAGTGAGTTCAATTAGACTCACATATTCCAATCATTCAGAATGTTTCTGCATCTAATAGGAGATGAGATCGCGTTAACTGACAAGACATATACTGGAGCTTTGAACTGTACCTGCTAAAAATCAGAATAAACAGAGGTAGCCGGGCATGGTGGCACATGCTTATAATTCCAGCAGTTAGGAAGTTAAGGCAGGAGAATCACCAGGAGTTTGAGGCCAGGCTTGGCTACATAGTGAGTTCAAGCCCAGCCTGAACTACAAAGTGAGACCTGTCTCAAAAACAAACAAATAAAACAATATACAGAGCCTACACATTTGGAATCTGAAGGAAACTTTTCAATCAGAGGTAGATAATTATAAGAAATGCTTACTTAATCTGGAGCTGAATGTAATTTTTGAGCACAAAGCTTAATTCTCTAAATTCCACCTATGTGTGTGATCATGTTCTGTTTAATAATTCTATTCTTAAAAATGAGTTTAAAATATGGCTTTATTATAAATAAATGTCTATTTTTACATACAAAGACCACTGGTGAGATACAAAGATGCTTTAATTTCTTCTTTTTTGGAGCTTTAGATGTTTAAGAAAATGTAATCCAGTATCCAACTGATAAGTTAGCTTAATGAAACTACTACTAAGAAAATAAAGGAGAACAAAGCAGGTAAAAAGTAATCTCTTTCATTATTCCTGCATTATCTTTCTAAGTTACATAGACTGTCATGTCTTTCTTTTGCTGATAAAAATTTTAACCAGTGTCTCCTTTGTCTATGGAATGTACCACCATTT